GCACGGCCCCAGGTCCCAGATCGGCACCGAGCGCTTCCTGCACCTGCGCTACCAGGGCACCGACTGCGCCCTGATGGTGTCCGCCCAGCAGCACCCCGCCACCGCCCGGTCGCCCCGGGCAGGGGACTTCGGGGCCGCCTTCACGGAGAGGTGCGTGGGCTCCTGGGAGCCAGCGGGGTGCCGGCCCCGCCCCCCCTGACGCTCCCCTGCCGGGCGGCAGGTACATGAGGGAGTTTGGCTTTGTCATCCCGGAGCGGCCGGTGGTGGTGGACGACGTGCGGGTGCGGGGCACCGGCCGCAGCGGCCTGCGCCTGGAGGACGCCTGCAAAGCTCAGACTGGACCTCCGCGGGTGGACAAGGTGGGTGGCCCCGCCGTGCCCGCGCCACCCTGGCTCACCGGCGGCTGCGGACGGGCAGGCCCTTGGCGCGGTGCTGACCTGAGAGCCCCTCCACAGGTGACCCAGTGCTACTTCGAGGGGGGGTACCAGGAGACCCCCGTGTACCTGCTGGGGGAGCTGGGCTGCGGGCACAAGCTTCAGGGCCCTTGTCTCATCATCGACAGCAACAGGTGGGTGCGGCCGGCGGGGCGCAGGCGGGCGTCCCCGGGGTCCCTGGCTCACGGCTGCCGGTGGCCCAAGGACCCTGGGGCCCCACGTGGTTGGGCGCCTCACGGCCAGGGCACGTGGCGTCCCAGTTGAGGGGCGTCCGGCCTGCGGCTCCAGCCCATGCGTCCCTGCCCCCAGCACCATTCTGGTGGAGCCCGGCTGCCAGGCAGAGGTGACCGAGACGGGGGACATCCGCATCTCCGTGGGGGCCGAGGCCGCCAACACCGTGGGCGCCCAGCTCGACCCCATCCACCTGTCCATCTTCTCCCACCGCTTCATGAGCATCGCCGGTGAGCCCCGCGCTTCCCTTCCAGGCTCCGCGCTGGGGGGTGCACTCCACCGCCCAGCCAGCCCGGTGCTGCCGCCCACCCTCTGCGGACGGGGGCAGGGGCGCGCCTGTGCGGGTCAGGGCAGGGGCCCAGGGGCCGGGTGGCAGCACCC